GGGCGCGGCGGCGGGCCGGCCGGTGCCGGAGCCGGCGCGGCCGCCGCTGTCACACGACGAGCTGCGGGCCATCATGGGCCTGCCATCGGGCGCGCCGCTGGAGGACCCGTCGTCCCTCGGCGACGGCCAGCTGACTGCGCTGCTGAAGGCCGTGTTTGGCCACACCGCGTTCAGGGGCCGCCAGCTGGAGCTGGTGCGGGCGGTGCTGGCGGGGCGGTCGTCGCTGGGCGTGCTGCCGACCGGGGCCGGCAAGAGCCTGACGTACCAGCTGCCCGCGCTGCTGCTGGACGGTGGGTGTCCGCCGATGGTGGGGCCGAGGTTCCTGGGTGTTGTTGAGGCGCATCCCTGCATAAGGGGGACAGTGGGCCGTTGGCAAGACATGACACACCTGCTCGCAAAGCTCCAGCAATGACTGCCAGCCGCTGCCGACGCCGGCGTTGCTGCGCGGGCCCGGATCCCTGGAAAACTTGAGGCTCGGTGCCACCTGCGCTGCCTGCTGCGCCGCTGCAAAGTGTGCGTTCTGCTCCGTATCTCGCGCCCCCCACCCCACAGGCCTGGTGGTGGTGGTGTCGCCGCTGCTGGCCCTCATGCGCGACCAGCTGGAGCGCCTGCCCCCCGGCCTGCCGGGCGCGATGCTGCAGGGCAGCATGACCCGCCAGCAGGTCGATGACGTCATGGCCCGCGCGGCTTCCGGGCAGCTGCGCCTGCTGTTCGTCGGCCCAGAGAAGCTGGCAAGCGGCGCCGTGCTGGGCGCGCTGAGGGCGCTGCCGGCGCTGCCGTTGGTGTGCGTTGATGAGGCGCACTGCGTGGCGGAGTGGGGGCACGGCTTCAGGCCCGCGTACTTCAGGTGTGGGGCGGGGCTGATCACTGAAGGGGGCGCCCCCTGGGGTGGGGTGGTGGGAGGCTGCCATAGCATCCCGGGGGTGGCCACCGCATGACGAGCCTCCGGTTGAACTCACAGGCTGTCCCTCCCTGGCAGGTTCTGACAAGGGAGGGGGCCCCAGCATGACGTCACCGCCCCCACCTCCCCGTCCCCACCCCCTCCACCCCAACAGGCTGGGCCACCTGCTGCAGCGCGTGCTGCGGCCGCGCTGCGTCCTGGCGCTCACCGCCACCGCCACCGCGCCCACGCGCGAGTGCATCTGCCGCCTGCTGGCGGTGCCGCCGCAGCACGTGCTGCTGGACGCGCCCATGAGGGACAACCTGAGGCTGAGGGTGGAGCACGTCAACGGCGGCAGCAGGGGAGGGGAGATCGCGTCACGCGTAGTCACCCTCGTCACACGCGGTGAGCGGCTGCGTGTGCGTGGCTTGGCGGGCCCTGCCTCATGCGTTGCGGCCGACGCTTTTCAGACGGCATGCCCCTTCTTGGAGCCTGTGCGCGCCACTTTGTGAGGGGCTGACGGCACGTGCTGCACCTCCGCAACATTCTTGTGCGCGCACAATCTGCGTGCGCATGAGCTTACACTTGAAACACAAACACGTACACAGATATACACAACACACACACACACACATACACAACACTCAACACACACCAGGCGAGCTGGCGGGGGCCACCAGCGTGGTGGTGTACTGCGGCTTCAAGGCGGCCGCTGACGCGCTCGCCGCACAGCTGACGCGCAGCGGCGTCGACGCGGCCGCGTACCACGCGGGCAAGAACCTCGCGCAGCGGGAGGCGGTGCAGGTGCGCAGCGGCTGAGCAGACGCCGCTGCCTTGGCGGGGCGCCGCAGCAATGGACTGCTGTGCTGATGGGAACGACAGCTGCTTGGATGCAGCGGGGGAGGAAGGGCTGCGCTGCTCCTTGGCTTGAGCGGCTCGCTTTCCTCCAGAGGGTTTTGCGTTGTTGTGCATCAGATTGTTGTGGACCGGGCCACAGGTGTGACCCCTCCGCTGCCGAGCACCATCACATCAAGTGCCGCCGCTCGCCCACACCAGGCCGCGTTCCTGTCCAACCGGTTGCGCGTGGTGGTGGCCACCGTCGCGTTTGGCATGGTGCGGCGCCAAGGGGTGGGGGGCGCAGCTGCTTGTACGCATGGCGCACCCCAGCTGGGGGTGCCGCCAGCCCTCTCGCCGGCTCCCCTCCCCACACCAAGATGGTGCGTCACACCTGCCGCCTTCAGCCTGCCTGCGCTGCGTTCCCGCAGCTCCAGGTCCCCTGACTCAGCCCATCCCGGCCCACCCC